TTCTTAACTCTCATCTTAACCTATTCTCTCGTGTGACCTGCCGCTGAAATCTTGCGTGTAATTCCGTCATCGGAACAAGCGATTGCTCATCAGTATCAAGCGTTGCCAGATACCAGGTAAGTTAACTACAATACCGAACGCGGCTACGATCGCGCACTTCGGTCTGACTAGCGGTTCGAACTTGACCGACATAAATTATCCGCATACAGTATGAAATGCAATTCCGCCAGAAACAATTATTGTGGTCTAGAACCAGTGTTAAAAGCCAAGACATTTGTCAAACACAGAGGCTACTCTACAATTATGAGAAGCCCTTTAAACTAACTTCAAAAACGCTTTATGGGGCATAAATAAAATTGTAAACATCCGCGAATGCTGGAAATTGTCGATCACAGGTTACCTTTCTAATTTCCTATGATGAAACACTTCAGTATATAGCCAAGACTTAGACTAGAAGCTCTAAAAATAAGATTTCTAACTTGTCTCATGAATTCATTCCCCAGATTCACTGAATATTTTGCTCAGCACATGCAACTGAACTTTCAAATACAACTAAGAAAAATTCGAGTTACAAGTACAGGACTAAAAAACTTTTTAAATAAATAAAATAGAGGGTTTCAGAAGGATCTTATTCATGACATCCCAGAAATGTTTTCAAGTGATTCTTGCTCCCTTCAATTAAAAGAGGGATCTAGCCTCTCTATAGTGCAGATCGAGAATCATCAACTCTGAATTAATTCTCATATAATCAAAAATTCTTCCAACTTCAAAGAACGGACGATATACAAAAAATATTCAAGTACCGGTAAGCTAAAATCGAGATAAATCAGAATCACACTGCATTTTGTAATCTAAAAAAATAAAAATCGACCAATTTCCAATTTTTCATCATGATTCTCCCCATATGGTGATGTAAGCATCCTTTAGTTAAAAATTTCGCAAGAAAAGGAAGTATTAGAATAAGGTCGTTTTCGGTCAAGATGTACCTTTTCCACTGTGATCGTAACGGTGTTGTTAACGGCTCCCGTATAAGGACCCTGTGTTTGTCGGTCTACACCAACATGCAACCAAATCCAACTTTTTCTTCAACCTACCGCAATGGATCAATCGTGGACATTGTGCCGGCGGACCTGCAGGTGTACCACCTGGGTAAGACCATGGTTAAGGGCGGCTACGGGAGTGAGTACGTGGTCTAGGAGCCGTACCAGTACACCTAGTGACCGTAGCGTCGACAATAACCGTTGAAGTAGCAGGAGATGCAGTTTGTGGCCAACAAAACCATGCGCACCCCATCCAACATGCTCATCGTCAACTTAGCCTTCTCCGACTTCCTCATGATGGCCGGGATGTTCCCGTTTCAAGGAATGTCCGCTTTCTACGAAGTTTGGATTTTTGGTGAGTGCGTGAAAATACTGTGTATACATTGCACTCCTTTTTTGGTTCCCGAAGAAATTCTTGTTGCTCTAAATATTCTGCATAAGAGGCTCTTTTGGAGAAACAAACGGCAAAAAATTGCACTTGAGTTGGTCTCAAACGTAGACGAATTACAACGTGATAAAATTAAAATCACACCAGGGCACATGGACAATATCTCGAAGAAAATTACAAAATTACTACGAAAAAAAGTACGAAAAGAATGCGACATGGAGGAAATACGCAACTATCTTGACTGAAATAAATGATGATAATGCATTATTATGAAAATATACCGTAAAAAAGAGAATTTTCCAAACAAGACCAATAACAATCTCAAAATTTGACCTAAACAGTACATTAACACCTATTCTCCCTCACGCTGTATTTCGGTTTTTCGAGCATAAAATCCAAAAATGTCCACGAAGATTGAAGAGAGTTACGCTAAAACTCCCCGCTTAAAATTAAGTTCCAATGTTTATGACAGTAAAAAAAAAAAAACGAAAAAGGGGTAAACAAAATGGTATGTTGTTCAAGTACTGAGAAGCTGTTCTACTGGACTGTTCCCTTCTGATCGAGGATTGCGTTTTTTCTTATCGAACTTCGACCTTCCGAAGATAAGCCAGGGATTCAAAATCCTGTACTTTGAGGTTTTAGCACTTGATCCAAAGCTGAGTACCCATTCAAAAACTTCAATATTGATCCTGTTTGATTTTTTTGGCGTTCATGTAATCTTGGGCAGTATTTGAGTACTCTTTCTCGAACGGGCTTTCAAACGAGATGTGGAAATTTAACAAGCGGCGTCGAAACGATTTTTTTTTTTATAGGGAATATCTAGTACCCCTCATTTTTTTTTACCATTGTCGTCGCAAAGTTCTAATAAAAAAATGTAGAACTCAAACACTTCAGCCCTGTGAAAATGTTTGCATTGCGGAGAGATGAATTTGCTCAGAATATCCTTCCGCATCCATTGGCGAGGCAATTTTGCTTTGAGACATCCGAAATTCTATTTGCTCTTAGTCTAGAATCTTATCCCTCATGTCATAAAAGTGGCATTGTACGGTGTCTTCAACCCTAAGGAACGCTTTTTAACTTTATTTTCAGATCTAGCTGAAGAACTTACAAAGCAGTGATAGAATGCCCAAAACTGCTGCTAACCTAAGACCCTTACAATTTTGAAAAAACCCCGTGGCGAATTTAAAGCGCCTTCCTCAAGACAAAATTTTCCCCTTCAAAAAATTAATAAGACCTATTTCAGACCGAAATATTTTTCTTTACATGGTAACGCCCCCTCCTCGAAATGAAGGCGAGCTCATGTGCCAACTTCACGGCTTCGTTGGAGCGTTCAGCGGGTGCATGCAAATCTGGACACTCACACTCATCGCCAAAGACCGATATAACGTGATCGTCAAGGGCATGGGAGCCAAGCCGTTGTCCTTCAAGAAAGTCGCCGCCATGATATTCCACCACCTGCAGTAGCGCAAGACAACCCGGTACCGCGGGTACAACCCGACCTTGTTCAAGTGGTACCTCCCGTTGTACTGACACACGCCTAGATTAAGGTAGCCGCGCCTAACCTTGTGGTTTTCGATCATCTTCTGCATCTTCACTTATGCATACTTCACCCCACTGTCTACCATCATCTTCTGCTACTTCCATATTGTCAAGGTGAGAGAGATCCCCTGAAACGAAAGAAAAGAACATATAAAATAATGCGAATAATTCTCCGTTCGATTTGTTTACGCAAGTATAATTTACATCGGTTTTTTGATTCACGTCATAAAAGTGTCTAGATTATCAATAAGTATCGCACAGAATTTTCAAAATTGATTTTCGTCATTTGTGCACCATTACATGGTGACACGTGATGTGAATATGTCAAAAATAAAATATAACCTCTCGTCACAACCCCACGAAGATGAGAGAGTGTTTCACTCGATCAATCTCTTTCATTTGTGCATTACTCATAAGATTAGCATTTTATTGGTTTCTGGATATGTAATACAGTACTAAAAACAGGAATCCAAACTTTGTCGAGGGGCAACCTTTTAAAAGCACACCGAACAGCGGCAGAGCAGAAATACCGGTTTTGCGGTGAATGATAAGAACAGTTTACATCACTAATTTGAAAAGAACTTGATTTTTTCAACGAAAAAAAAATCTGGAAAATTTACGACGATACACAGGAAATTTTGCAATTGAAGAATAAACTGAGAAGATGCACTCGCAAAAAATCAACAAACCGTTGTGTCACAGACGGACAAATATGATTTTAAAATTGAGGCCATCATAGAAAAAAATTTATAAATTTTTTTCCTTCTAGGCTGTTGCAGCACATGAGAAACAAATGCGAGATCAAGCCAAAAAGATGAACGTCGTCTCGGACGCTTCACCACTGCTGCCCTTTTGATCACGTCTTTAAGCTGAACGGTTCCATACTTCTGTTTTTAATGCAAACGTTTTTATAGCGTATTAAGGAGGTTGTCTCTCTCTCTCTCTCTCTAAGCTACGATGCATTTCGCATTTCCTTCCAGGAAAAAAAAAATAAGTTCAATCGCGTTTCTCATTCTGGAAATCATAAAAAAAAGCCTGCCTTTCCGCTTAGAAATTCTGTAGAATACTGCACTGTGATTTGAATTCTTCTAAAATGCACAAAATCTTCCGTAAAATTAACACATCCAAGGCGCACAGATATTCTGATTACAGAAAAACTTGTTACTGTGGCACTAAATCAAAGGCAATCGATCACATTTTATCCAGCTATTGTATGTTCTGCAGAAAACTGCCAGCAATACAATAATTTTCCTGCCCACGAATTAGAATGATGGTTCCAATATTTCCTGACTTAGTTTTCGGAAAACCCTATCATTGACAAACTTCATCGTTATCGAATGATACATATTTTGTGCAGGGGAATTCCGTACGCGAAACCGTGCTATAGCACTTATACTGACTTCAACTATGATTTGTCCCCGGTTTCCTTCATTTTTCTGGGGGTTGAACTTCTCGAATAGGTCGCCATCATGACGATTTTCAGCAGAGCCTGCGAAGTGGTGACGACGGGAAAACTAGTGCAGAAATTCGACTTGCCAAGGTATGAAGACAAAAATTACGTTTGCAAAAATATCGCATAATTCCTCCAACAGAGAGAGAGAGAGAGAGAGAGAGAAAGCTACGATGCATTTCGCATTTCCTTCCAGGAAAAAAAATAAGTTCAATCGCGTTTCTCATTCTGGAAATCATAAAAAAATGCCTGCCTTTCCGCTTAGAAATTCTGTAGAATACTGCACTGTGATTTGAATTCTTCTAAAATGCACAAAATCTTCCGTAAAATTAGCACATCCAAGGCGCACAGATATTCTGATTACAGAAAAACTTGTTACTGTGGCACTAAATCAAAGGCAATCGATCACATTTTATCCAGCTATTGTATGTTCTGCAGAAAACTGCCAGCAATACAATCATTTTCCTGCCCACGAATTAGAATGATGGTTCCAATATTTCCTGACTTAGTTTACGGAAAACCCGATCATTGACAAACTTCATCGTTATCGAATGATACATATTTTTGTGCAGGGGAATTCCGTACGCGAAACCGTGCTATAGCACTTATACTGACTTCAACTATGATTTGTCCCCGGTTTCCTTCATTTTTTCTGGGGGTTGAACTTCTCGAATAGGTCGCCATCATGACGATTTTCCTCTGGTTCTCCGCCTGGACCCCGTACGTGGTCATCAACTTCATCGGAATCTTCTTTCCGGACAAAATCACACCCATGATCACCATCTGGGGTTCCACGCTGTCCAAGGTCTCGGCCGTTTACAATCCCATCGTCTACGGCATCAGTCATCCCCGTTACAAGACCGCACTTCGTGACACATTCCCGTCTCTCTCGTGCTTCGTCGGCAAGCCGGAAGATGACGCCAAGTCAGTCGTCACGACGGAAAGCGGCGACACCAACCGGCAGGTTCAGGAAACGGTCGCGTGAGCGTACCCTTTTCTTTTCCGAGTCCGTTCAAGTGGGAAGCCCCTGTGTAGAAAAAGCGTATTCGCATGCGTTTACTTCAAGAGACGTATTCTCTTAATTTAGGCATGTTCGATTGAGGTATTCGGGTGGTTCGAACCATTCAGACCAGCGTTGGGTCCTCTGATGAGAGTATGATGGGTCTAGTGAGGGTTTGAGTTGGGTCAGTTTGAGTCGAGCAGAACTTCTTAATGCAGGGTCGGAGCCCACATGAGCTCACAATTTGCACCGGTCAACATGATACTTAAAAGAAGCAATATTTTTTTCGATTGACACTAGAAATAAAATGTTGCAAGGGATCCCGAAGTTGGAAGAAAATCATGAGATCTATCTACTAGTTAACTAGACTAAAGCCGGTTTGTTGTGCAGATGATTTTATTCTTGAAATCCCACTGCCCGAATCTCTAAAAATGTTAGCTCTGCATCCCAGCATAACTTTTCAAGGTATTTCAAACTCTTGGACAACAATGTTAGACTTTCCTTGCAAATTTCCTGGACTGATTGAAAAAATAAGCACCACTGTGTGTGGAGGGCAAAACTAGGAAAATTCCTGTAATATCATTGATGTTGCACTACTAAGGAAAATTTGATACGAAAAAAAATAGATCAAGACTACCATTTAAATCAACCATTCAAATATGCTTGAGGATCTTGAGGCTTCCATTCCAAACTTGAAAAGCAAGCATCCCTGTCTAGAGTTGACAACAGAAAAATTCCAACTTTGGAAAATGAAAGCAACGGATTAATACTGAATCAAGTCTGCCTTTGCCCTGCCCCACAAGACTGTGAAATAAGTCAGTTCAAAGCAAACTAATTTTCCTTGAATTTGACCACAGCGTTGCAAACTTCCATGCATCAACTGTTAAATAATTTTCAAATATTTTTATTCAAAACCTTAAGTAAAGAACAGTTTTCTTTGAAGCAATAGAAGTGAGTGAACCTGTTTGTTCATCATTGACTCAATTACCGCGTTCCTCGAAATCTCCTCACAATGGGCGAGATCATAATGATTCAGCTGCCGAAAGAAGTTCGCCGAGCATACAACCACTTTCTGAATGCAAGAAATTGTGATGAACTGAAGGGGAATAATGCAAAATACAATCTACGGATAGATCGAAAAGCTCGAGTCCAATGATTCATTGTAATCTATAATTCTATCGAAATTTAGATAATCATAATTTAAACAAACCTCGACTTACACATGATCCAACCCCGATGATCCAAAAGTGTTGATAATCAAATGTACCACAGTATGAAGTTATTGTGATACTGGAGATAATTATACAGACTCCTTCAGAAAATTGTGAAATCGAAATTAAAATGTGAAATAAGCCAAACCGATACTCCTTCGAACGAATTCCTTGAAATTTTCAACAGAATCTTGCCATAACAAATCGTGGCTTTAAAAGAAATTGAGGTTCACTGCTCGATAGCCAATCTTATTTTAATTTTTTAAAGAAATTATTTTTTCTCTACAATACTGTACTGTATAGAAAAAAAAGGATCTTCGGATCCGAGGACAAGCGTTCTGATTATTCATAGTCCCGATCGGCCTTGTTGCAACACGATTTTACCGCACCTCTGAACTTTTAACTCAAAATTTGACGAACCAATTCAATCACCACATTTTTCAAATTCACTGACACAAAATTCGGGGAACCAGAAAAAAATTAGTTGTAGATGGGTATAGAGAACTCTGTAGGACAAAAAATGTTTTTCATCACAGATAATTGTAGGCAAAATTATTTTTATGCAATTATTAGATAGAGCGTTTACATCTACAGTATTACTTTCCGAAATATTTAAAATGATACTTTGGCAATAATTGAGTAATCTAACATTAATTCTCAGAGCTTTCAACAATAGTATCTATTTGTTGGCCTCGGGAAGCCCAAATCGATAAAAGTTTCCGCAATGGCTTAGAACTATAGTCTTCAAGGATTATTTCCATCGTCTCCATCTACAATATATATTATCAATAATGAAATCACCGCACTGAAAAAGCGTATCACCCAAAAACCGTCGAACAATAAGAAAGAAAAAAACAAAAAAAAAAGGATTTTCAATAATCGCACTTCGTCTCTGAACTCTCATGGAAGGGGAAACCCTACCTGAATCACAACTCGTGACGAAAAGATAAACTCGCACATCAGAAAAGTGACCTGATGCGTTCTTAGAAAAGTCTTCGGAACAGAATCGATACTCGCTCTTAATGAAGTCGGGGAAGAAACCCGTAAAACGCCGTCAATCAGGAGTTATTCCGCATTTGTTCCCGAAACGGGCGGTTCGAAAACATTTCCATGCGTAATCCTAAACCCGAAAATCACCGTGAACAACTGAATTTAATCACCAAAAATGTAAATTTATCCTCCGAATAGAATCGCACTAACATCCATTTCACTACTGGGACGATTCCACGTAATCTGAAAATCAAAGAATTACGTAACTATTATGAATCCTTATTGCGTGAAAAATTCGCATAAGTCACAATCCCTTTTTTCACACAATACCGTACTGTATATGAAAATTAAGCTTGATAATCGAGCTCATCCGTTCAAACTTCATCCGATCGATGACGCACAGAATGCGTCCTCATAAATAATTTGAAACATGGGATAGCAGAGGAAAAGCTGCACACCGACTCAACGCATCTTTTTTTTTTTAGCAGGGCGAACGATAAGGTACAATATTCAATTGTCAGTAGTGTAGGATCAAACTGCTGCGATTATTCAAAAACTATAAGGCCCTCTTAAAAAATTAGCTTCTTAACATCAGGGAGTAGAATCAATGACATCCCAAATAACAATTCGAAATTGGGGCAATCCAACAGAATCGCGTGATTTTGAGTAACGAAAATAAATTAAATTGCATGTTCTGTTATGAAAAAAAAATTAAATGAAAAACTCGTACAGAAGAAATCAAGCTAAAATATCTCCTATGGTCACTGTCCGCTCGTAAGGTTTTCGAGATTTATTTTAAAAAAAACCAGATTTTCCCCGAAAAATGGTTTTATTTTGCTGGAAAATCCATGGTGCAAAATCCCTGCTCTTGCGGAAGTACAATATTTCCTTTTGCCGTATAAATAACAGGGAGAACGAAGCATTATTTTTGGATCAAACATTTTGAATGTTTTTGAATTCAAAATAAATTCTGGGTTTTCTCCCGCTTGTGAGCTTATCCAAATACTCTTTCGGAAAACTGGCCATGACTTCCTTTTCACAACAGAATTTTAAAAAATCCACGGCAACGAATTCCAGTCGATTTTCAAGCAATTTCACGTCGGTTGGAAACATATCTCAACACGAAAACGAACTAACCCAGAATTTGACTCGTATATGTAAATGGAATAAAAGCAAGGAACTAAAAATGGCCAACTTAGGATTTTGAAGATCACTCAAAGCATTTTTGCTCTTATTGAAAATTTATGATAACTGTATTATGCAAGTGGGGAAAATCTGAATCGCGTGCTTTTCTCTGAATAATTATCCACCAAATGGAGCGTTGCAAAGGGCTTTCATATTTTTCTTTCAGCTCATCTGCAACGTGCGAACCAGAGTAATTTCTATACTGTACTATAGTTGCATTATGAAAAAGAAAAAGTCGATAAATGTGTGCACGGGAAAATATATGATGTAATGTCATCGAATATACTCTATCCTGGGGATGCTATAATGATTAGCTTAATAAATTGCGATCCCTCAAGAATTTACCCGGATGAAAATTCTTTCGTCGAAGCCTTAAAAATGCTTCATGAGATGGAATAAAAATTTTAAAATCGACGGCCGACCGAGCGTCTGCAGGTCGGAGAAAAAGCATCACCAGAGAGTAATGGCACGCACCTGATGAAGAGTAAATTTTCACTGCATCAAATCAATTATGGGCTTGTAGAATCAGCAAGAATGTCAGGTGGAATTCAAAGAATGCTTGTGCGTCAAGCCTTTACCATCACTATCGATTTCTTGAATTCGGATTCCAAAAAGCTGCCCTTTCCTGCCCATGGGAAGAGAATGGTATTCCAAGACGGCTTCAGTCCCGGAAAGATGTCCGTATTCCAGGAATTCGTACATCGGTTCGATTTCATCGTCGTCGAAGAAGAATAAGCACGGGGTCGAGAATCCGGCTAATCCGATGCTAATTCCCTGAAAGACCCACGGAGGAAGAATCCTCAACTCAAGCACACACACGATGCGGAATTCGGAGCAGAGGTATTTAAAGACACCGATTGCGGGTTTAACGCGCAGCGGCAGTCTTTGGCTGACGACACATCCGAGAGGAACCCCATTTTCCCCCTTCAGCAACACATAGTCTCTGATTTTTTTCTATTTCGAACTGAAATTTTCCTGGTGTTCTCATCATTCCTAAGGAGTTTCCACACGCCACTCGCCGTCATCAAATCGCGCAGCAATCCTACAACTGTCTCCAGCATTGCCGGATATCAGGTACATCAATTACTGCACCGAACGCATTCGGGATCACGTACCTTCCCACACACTTACCCCTTCCAGCAATAATTAATCTGAAAATATTCACGGTCAGAGAAAAATTTTAGCCGCAGTCTAACCGGTCGAGTTCTTGGTGGGTTGATAGAAAAGAAGCTATTGCAGTAACATACAAATTCAATTACCCACACATCTTAAAAAAATTTTTTTTTGAGGAAGATTGAGTACATATCTTTTTTGAAACAAATACATTACTTTATTATAGTGGCATTTAAGGAAGACAACTTTGACTTTCTTCTGAAATTGAGACCCTCATCTCATTTCTTGGCACTTCATCGATATCATACCGATATGAAACAGGATTCTGATTCTAACTTGTTGATCAAGGTTATGATTTATTATACTGTATTCCGACACTTTGGATATTATCATAGTATCTTAAAATTTCCTCTTAAAGCTTTCTTCTGATTTTTTGAGAATTAATCAAGCCTTCAACATCAAAGCATGAAGTGTTGACATTTTCAACTCACTGCAGTGGTTCAGTTATCAAAAAACATATCCAAGAGCGTTTTCAAGGCACAGGGGGATTCCTGCTGAAAAACGCCTTTGATGCTGCCAATGTACTTCATCAGTGGATATACTTGCTGTTTTGAAAGGTTTATTAACCATTCCACAGTTTGCAAACGCTTTTATAGACAAAGACAAGGAGTTTCCTCGAAGAAAGTGATGCAATTGTGCCAATCCAACCTATTGACATTCTTGCTAAAAGAACATAAAAAACATTATGCTGAAACAAAGTGTGCCTGTTACCTTCTGAGACGAAACTCCAGCACGTTCAAAAAGCAGTCTCTGTAATTGTGTGAAAATGAACCACACCAACTTTACGGTAAAGCAGAAAAAATTTCAGCACCAGGATGTCAGAAGCAAAAAATGTGTTCGATCATCAATTGTTCTTGAAAATGTACCTCCAAATATAGGCAGTCTTGAATTCACAATTCAAGGTATTTTCATTTCTCGATTTCTTCGAATTAAATTGCAAATGTACAGTATTGGCATTATAACTAATGAAAAACTATCAGAATAATTTTCTTGTTAGTAACTCCGTCCAATATCATACGGCGTACCCATTTATCACTGCTGGAAGACAAAGGTCAACTGAACATAACTGGGATAGTTCGAAATTTTTAAAAGAAATCTTCGGGAATTTCAGATTTACCGCAGCCTTTTCTTTATAAAGAAAGTCAGTTAGTCAGAAGGCATTAATACAATTTGTTTTCTTTAAAGGATTAAATACCTACTTTTTTATTCGGTCGATTCAAAATATTTCCCCGTAGTGTTTTGCACCGCGTCATTGCTGGCATCTTTCTTTCCAGTCGAATTTTCTCTTCAGAAACCGGATTCTCTGAGTGGAAACAAAGATGATGGCATCACCGCAGCAAATGCCGAAGGGGCCGTATCATTGGGACACGAGCGGCCATTTCGCCAATAACATGCCCCACGTGCCAGAGGGATCTTCAACATACCGCAATGGATCCATCGTCGACGTGGTGCCAGCGGACCTGCTCTACTTGGTGGACCCATTTTGGTACCAATTCCCGCCGATGCCGACACTCATGCACCAGATCCTCGGCATGGTCATGTGGTTGACTGGCATCGCAGCCGTTGTAGGCAACTTCATCGTCCTCTACGTGTTTGTGTCCAACAAAACCATGCGCACCCCGTCCAACATGCTCATCGTCAATTTGGCCTTCTCCGACTTCATCATGATGGCCGGGATGTTCCCGTTTCAAGGGATGTCCGCTTTCTACGAAGTCTGGGTCTTTGGTGAGCGATGATCTATTTTTTCGTCCCATTTTTGAATTTCACCATCGTGTCCCAAAACCTAAACACAATATTATACGACTATACTTTCATGTATGAAACTATTACTACAATTATTCCGAAAAATTGGCGCGAGTCGAAAAGATTGAAAATTAGAGCGCAATTGACCAAACCTTCGAAAATAAACTCTCTTGAATGCAGAAAAGTGCATCCTCTCTTTCCCATCGCATCTGTACAAACGAAAACGAATTCAACAACAATTTTAAGATATGAACGAAAAAATGCATCCAAATTATATTTATGTTGAGGTATGGCTTTAAAACTTCAGAAGAAAGCACTCGTACATCAATTTATACCACGTTATTCCGCGTTCATTTTGATGAAAGATTTTCAGTTCACGCGCAGTTACATTTTCAAGTATGAATACAGATCTTGATTTAACTGATATGGGTATGCTGGAACCTTATACTCATATTTTTTGTGAGGGAAATGAAAAAAAGTTCATTAATACTGATGATTCATGAATAAACGAGAAAAGTCTTCACATTGACAACAATCTCCAATACTTGAAAGTGCCTCAGCATTGCAAGATAATTCTTAAATCGGAGGATGTATACGGAGTAAATAATAAGACTTCAACATGAATCAAAAATTCGAGATACAGTACATGAATTAAAAGACTACTTCTCGAATTTGTATCCGCCTCTAAAAATAAAAATATGCCTGATTCGTCGAAGCATAGAAATTATTCGAATGTCACGGCAGTTTCTCAAAGAAATCCCCATTATATCTCCTCTATATAAAGACACCCTCGTCGCATTCATGTTCCAATCGGTACAGAAACTTCTGTACTTCCACGCAGTCACTGGCGCCGGTTATTCGCGAAAAGGCGTCCGCGATTCCAGGGATTTAAAACTTCCCACGCCAGCTTTGCATTATAAAGTCGGGGCAGCGGGTTTATCCCGCAAAAGCCCATACATTTCGTCCACGAGGCCGAAGAAAGACGGATATTCCAGTCTGATCCCCTTCTTTACCCCCTCGTCTCAACAGGCGGGCTCATGTGCGAGCTTCACGGCTTCATCGGAACGTTCAGCGGGTGTATGCAAATCTGGACACTTACCCTCATCTCTTATGACCGATACAACGTGATCGTTAAGGGCATCGGGGCCAAGCCGTTGTCATTCAAGAAAGTCGCCGCCATGCTGCTTTTGGTGGACGGAATCGCGTTTGCTTGGGCCTGGGCGCCCATGTTGGGCTGGAACAAGTTCACCATGGAGGGCAACATGACTGTGTGTGGATCCAATTCCATCAATGCCGACTGGAACACCAAGAGCTTCATCTTCTGCATTTTCACTTATGCATACATCACCCCACTGTCCACCATCATCTTCTGCTATTTCCACATCGTCAAGGTGAGAGAAATTCCCTGGAACGAAACAAAAGGAAACTCAGAATAATGCGTATACTTCGACGGGTACAACAGCACTCTGAAATTTGTCTTGGATAAATTTGCAGCACTTTATCCCCTGGATTTGCTTTTTCAAGGATTATATTTACAATATTTCTGGTTCACGTCATGAAAGTTTGGTCCCTCAAATAAAGCAAAATATTTTCAAACTTCAATTCCATTACAGTGGAACCTCTCCAAATCAGACTTAAATTTAGGGAAACGCAACAAATTGTGAGTTAGGAAGGTTTGGAGTTATAGAAACAAGCATTGTTTTTTGGAGAAAGAAGGAATACAGAAATTACAGGAGATTGCATGTTCAAATTTAAAAAAAGAAAATAAACGCTTAGTCTTGAAACTTGACATTCAAATCATGAGGAGAGCAAGTAAACGAGTGGACTTCCTCGACAACAATACAAAGGAATTCAAAACACAAGTATTTCAAGATTCGCAGTTCAAAAGATACACTGCACTTCTTCATTGCCCGTGAAAAGATTCTCTGGAACATAGAAAGAGTATCTGTCCTTAGACATATTGCACAAATAGCAGCCATTTTCTCCAAACAAATTCAGATGGAAAATGAGCATACAACAGTATTTGTATACAAGTGCTGTAAATGGCCTTCTCAAAATATTCATCACAACTTTCGATTCAATCCTGTTTTCGTTACGCCTAACTTTAAAACAATGTAATATTCTGAATTAACACGGCCCAAGTATTTTCTGATTGTTGAATTTTGAAAAAACTGTTTTAATACTTGCAGCAGAATGAATAATAAAATTATCCTGTTTATATAGCGGCTTTCGGTAATTATTTTCCCAGAGATGAAATTATCAGAATTCTACAATAAATTCCTAGATCGAACCTGAGTTGAGAAAGCATACTTTTGCCACATTTTGACAAATTTTGTATGCTTTCATGTTCAAGGCTGTTGCGGTGCACGAGAGGCAAATGCGAGAACAAGCCAAGAAAATGAATGTTCAAAGCTTGCGAACTGGTGATGACGGGAAGACGAGCGCAGAAATTCGTCTCGCCAAGGTATGAAAACAGCACTTTCTACCCCGAATTTTCCAACACTTCCTCTGCCGAAAAACCACCGCCTCGACGAACTGTATATTTCCCTCTGAATATACAGTTCTCGCGGTTTAAACTTATGATGAAGGTGACGGATCGAGACTTCATCAGATTCCCGAAAACTGTCGAAGAAAAAAAAATCAATGTTTTTGATGGTCGTATAATTTTCTCAATTATTCCAGGCATTAAGTATTCTGAGTGAACAGCCATGTACTGTATAATAGAAGAGCGTCAAGAGCGGTATTCAATTGTTTTCATTCTATCTCTACACAATAAACGAAATCACACAAATTCGAAGCTATATTATTTATAAGAAAAACTGACAATTTTTAACTATGGATATCTAAATAAACGCAGGAAAATCGCTGAAATAAATTACCTTTCCAGCCCACAAAAATTTGCCGCGATTTTGCATGAAAACATGTCGAATTCTGAGTTGGAAAAATGAAACCGGTTCACCTCTCTGTCACTCCCCATGGCTAAATTCTATAAATGTCTTCTTTGTCAGAAAGATGTCGCATCAGTATGTTTCACTGGATGCGCCGCACGCCAGTAGATGGCGTACAATAACGTTGAACTAACTTCCAGCAGTGATTTCTCGAGAATCGTTTTACCCATTCTCAGCATTTTTCTGATTCTTCTTGAAGATACTTGAATTTCATTGCTCTCATTCGAATCATTGGACCGCACAGATAGAATATGGAAAAAAGTTCAGGTCCTTTATATCTTCATACTATGATTTCTTAGGAGGGATGAATGATTTTTCAGAAGCTTATTGCATATACAGTAGATCACAACTTTTTTTAACATCATGGTTCCAAATTGATATTGCACTTCATAGTTTCCTGAAATTTATTTTGAAATTCCTGAACTTTTCCATTTGTTCGGCAGAAAGACAACTTTCATCACATATTTTCAAAACTTCAAATCAACGCAAGTTCAGAGAATAATAGCTTGAAAATTTCAGTGGTCCACCTTGTGTCCATTCCAGGAAGAGAAATTATAATAAAGGAACCGCAATTTCTCCTTTTGTAAATTATGATTCAGTGGGAGAAACTTCCATATGCTGTAACTGTAACTGAAATTTTAAAGTACCTATTTTGAATTGGCGTTCAACTGACGTTCTGATTCTTTTTCCCCGTGTTATCATTACAGATCGCCATCATGACCATCTTCCTCTGGTTCTTCGCCTGGACTCCATACGTCGTCATCAACTTCATCGGCATCTTCTACCAGGACAGAATCACACCCATGATCACCATCTGGGGTTCCACACTGTCCAAACTGTCAGCTGTTTACAATCCCATCGTCTACGGCATCAGTCATCCCCGTTACAAGACTGCAGTCAACGAGACGTTCCCGTGTCTCTCGTGTTTCGTCGGCAAGCCCGAAGATGACACCAAGTCAGTCGTCACGACGGAAAGCGGCGACACCAACCGGCAAAATCAGGAAACGGCTGCGTGAGCGTCTTTTGAGTCGATCGTTAGGTGAAGTTCCTGTAGAGAGAGAATAATCGAGTGAGCTACCAATCAGAAGTTTACGGTATTCGCCTGATAGCCACTTTTCGATTGAGGCATTCGAATGGTTCGAACCATTCAAACCAGTTGGGATCCTCTGGAACTATACGTAGGGTCTGGTGAGGGTTTGAGTTGGATCCGTTTGAGTCGAGCAGAACTTCTTTCGGGACTCGGGGTCGGAACCCGGCAGATAAGCTCAGTATCCATTTGAATACGCATTCTACCTGAAAAGCACCACAGGAAAGTTTTCAACGATCTTCACTACTTAATAGATACAATGACATAATCTTATCAGAGCATTGAAATCAGCAATTATAATAGGACCGGACAGTATAGGGATTTCATAATACAGTGAAGCAAATAAACTTTTCTCCAGCATAATGTTAAAAAGGAGCATTGAATGACTTGAATCCGTCTCTGACCAACATGGTCAAAATATTTCATGGAGCATTTAATGAAGTCATTTAAATAATTAAATATAGGAACGAAATAATTTTAATCGTGAAATATGCCTGATTTGAAATTATGAACATGGGACGTACTTCTGTTGATATCAGTCGGCCTCTTTTGAAAAACAAAATTGTCGCATGAAATAGTGAGAGTAAAAAAAAATGCATCATTCGGATTTTTTTTTTTGTGAATTGAACCTCAATTTTGAATTCCAAATACATTCCGCATAGAAGTTCCTTCTTTTTTGTTGAATCGAAAATTTAATGTACAGTAACTTACGGTACTACACAAACTCAACTTCGTTCATTTTACAAGTTATTAGGTTCATTCACAATAAGTTCACTGATAAATGATTTTTACTTCCTTTATAACTTGAACTCACGAGTTCTAAATCTATTTGACGCGTTAAAAAAGTCTAAGGCTCATGATGTGGACCACTCGAAACTTATTGATTCTTTTACATGTGTATTCATTGATTCAATTTCCGTGTTTGACGAAAATTTGGTGACAATTACGAAAATCAATCAAACGGCTGCCAAGTGAGAAGTTCGCCGAGCATACACCATTTTCTGAATGCGAAAAGTTGTGATGAACTCCAGGGGGATCGGGCAAAATACAAGTCACTGATAGACTGAGCTAATATTTATTATTCATTTTCGTAGGTAAATATGATAATTTTCTTGCAGGAAAATCCAAAAGTAAGTAAACATCCATTCCTTTAAATGTAATGCTAAAAAATATGAATACAGTATACAGTACAGTAATTGAAGCAAGAACAGCTGCCGAAACAAGCGCCTTTTTCTCCAAATTTCATTCCAACTACAGTGAAATCTAGTTACAACGATGCCTTCAGGACCAGCAATATATAGCTTCATTGTAACGGAAAAAAATTCCTCAGTAAGTAACTCATTCAACATTATGGCTTTAGGGCAGCACAGACTAAAATTCAATTTCGTTGTAACGAGATTCAACTATATTTTGTCATTGGCTTGCAGTGAATAATATTGCCGTGAAAGTTTTTCTTTTCATCAGTATCTCCAGTTTTTTCCATAAATCATACTCAGTTGAACCTTGTTAACTCAAACCTCCATCCCTGTCAATTTCTTTTTAATTTCCGCATAAACAACGCATACAAAACCTCCATAACTCAGCCATAATCGCAAGTTTTGTGAGGTCTTCCGGCTATTCTTCATTGACACAGAAAATAAAAAAGCAATAAAATGTACGCCACTTGATGCGTTTGGAAAGGAAGTGAAAGACTAACATTTGGAAATTTAATCTTGTTTTTAAATTCAGCATCCTCTCGTCTCAGTTAAGAAGCATTTCGAAGCCCAGAATACCACGAATTACCATTTCCTTGAAATATTCTCCCCCTCCCCAACAAAATTGTCTATTCGGAAACCGAAGTGTTTTTTCTGCCGAAGTATTTTTTTTAGTACACCCTCTCCTTTAAAGTCGCTGTGATGATATAGATTCCGGTTATTGTCATAACTTTGTCTGCGAGAATGAAACCCTACACCGGGATTTAGAACGTGACTCGATCACAAAACGGAGGAAAAGATACCTGACACGGCATTATTGAGTTCCAAGAAAAACTGATGGGAACTAAATCAATACTCACTCATCATGAACGGTAGAAAGAAACCCCTGAAACGCTGCCGATTGGAATTTATTTCGCATTCTTTTCGGAGCGAGTGATGGATCATCCGGACGGTCACGACCTGTTTCTCCGCACAATTCTCAGAAAGGAACAAGGAAGCTTCCCTTCGCCTTTTTTTATTTTTTTTTTTACACACGAAAGAAGCGACTTAGACCACACTAGTCTGATATTCAGTATAAGTCACTCTGAACTCTTCGTGGTTTTTTTTCTTTCTCCTAAACACTTCTCTCATTTTCCGCGCGAGGAATTATATCTTTCACAGTATACGTGTACGCTATATACAACTCCACGCACTTGAATGATACGGAACAACCGAAGAAATGAGAAGATGGAACGTATTTCCTTGCGGGATGAACGCACTGAAACCATATTTGATAGTTCTGATGGAAATTCTTTTACAATGATTTATTTTTTCGTTCCAACACTAGAAATTGATTTAGGCGATCAATTATATAAAGTTGATCATTTCCAAAGAGTTTTTACTTGCACAAACAAAATGTATACGGTGCCTGTAGTCCTTGAATATGGTAAGCCGAATTTTCAGACAGCCACTCCAAATATGAAGATCGAGATGGGAAGAAAAGGTACTTTTTCACTATACGAAAAAAAAAATTGAAATTGCTCGAAAGTGTTAGAAAGGAAAGAAAGATACTAACTGAAGCGTGATTAGACTCAATTCCCATGATTTGGCCTACATTAAATTTTTCTAGACCGTGTCTCACATGTTCGCTTGCTAAATTGTTCCCTTTTCTGAAAAACGACTTCATTTATCTTCGTCCCTTAATCTGTGACAGCTTCCATTTGAGTTAAAATTGTACCTTTTTCAGGTAATTCACAAGGAGATTTCAGACGAAAGTTCTTCCTGGGTGCGCATTTTTCCTCATTCAGCCAGAGTTGAACGGGTCCGACAGTCTTTCAAAATCGGATTTGGACACTCGTTTCGGTTGTGGAAGTAGTACCACATTTCACGTAAAACGATCACGCAAAATTTCTTGCATTCAAAATCAATTCACTCAAATCACTTCGCACTGCATAAAATTGCATCTTTAACCCACAAAATGACGAAAATTCAATATCACTGAGAAAGACGCCCGATATATAAACTTCAGGATTCCTACTTAAAATACAGCCAAAAAATAAGATCAGCAAAGTAATCGTTCAAAAACAATACTCGATATTGCATAAGCCCCATGAAGCCTTTCAAATGTCACGAAAACAACTCACACAACATTTCCTTCATTCCCAAACCGCAATGTTATTAATCAACGACATGCATTCGACCGACGGACAAACGCATACAGTATTTCTAAAAATAATTCCATCAAGAGATTCAAGACAACTCAATACTGTATCCAATTTTTAAAGAAATTGGGGCATTCAATCGATACAGCGTAAAAGCATGAGTTCAGATAGTTGAAATAAATTCAGCTGAACGGGGATCGGATTTAACATCGCAGGGAAGGCTTGAGCCATGTTAATCGGCTCTCGCTCGAACGCGATTAACCACGTGTCGACGTGGTTGGAAACCCGGGATTTTGACAGTTGTTGAAAAATTGACATCGCTTTGTCCCGAAGCAAAGTAAAAACAAAAAATAGTTGAAGACGTCCCGCAACAAACATGGAGGTCAAAAGGTTGAAGAACCCAGACAAAAAGCACCTGTACGAAGAAGAGCCGCGAAGAGAAAAACATTCAAGGAAAAGGTAGAAAATATTACTTAATAATCACTTGCTCTGATGGATCGAATTTTTGTTCATAATATTCAATTCAATTCACCAAAGAGTACGCTATACACCCGCGGTAACGCTACATTATTTTTAAAAGAGAGTTTTCCGAAAAGAAATTAGCAAAATGCAACGATCCTCTCTTACTGTGTTTTGTATTCGGGAATTTCTCCTTGATGCTTCTTGTCTGCGGTTCTCATTCTCCTGCCGTCAACGTCGGCTAAGTACAGTATTCGAAAAAGTATCAAATCAAATGATCGAATACTCCGGACGTGGGAGTTCCATTGCATGCGTTCAAATTATGCAAATGAGCGACTCAGTGAAACACAGTTCTGACTATGCTGCCTTTGCCGGACGATATGTTGGATCGTAAGAGTTAGAGGCATGTCGCAAACGAGTTTCGAATGCAAATCCGATTTCTAAGTAGCATTTCAGATCCGCTGGAGTAGCCTCGGTTTTCGCATAAGCTGTGCATGGACTGAGTGCTCCATTCAGTCGTAGAAAATTAGCCCAGCTTCCGAAAATCGAGGTTGGAGTCGCCAGTCGAGTACCCTACTTACCGATCGTCGTCAAAAAAATGCGAGAATGGCGATATGGCATGCATGGAGTGTCCCGGAAGCACCTGAAGGCTAAATCCTCTACTCATCCTCCCTCCCAAGAATTCATCACACGGGTCATGTAAGTAGGAGAAACGCATTTTGTTTCCTCCCTATATATGCACAGAGATTCGCGGGTGACCCGACGGGTATTTAAGGCCACTGATGGCCCATCTGCGCCCAACGGCAGTCTGTGCCCGGCAACGCAACCCTCCGCATCACAATCCTGTTCTGAATCACTTCGAAACTTCTTCTTCCCGTTCACGCCCATTTGAAACTACACGATCCGCAACGCGTCATTCCGAGATTTATCACGGTGTCGAAAGTTGCGCGCTCTAATTGCCTTGAACGCCATCAGCGTTAGCGCAGTTGCTGCCAAATCAAACAGGTACATTGAGTAGCATACCGGACATGAGAGGATTATACTACCGAACGTCGCTTTTCTGTTAACCCAGCTTCCAAATGATACTCTGCAGTTATAATCCTCACGTTGAATATCCACTTCACCCTAAACTGTTTCTACTGATCGAATTTTCAGTGGATAGAAGCGGAACATGAGGCTCAATTGCATAAGTTGAATCAATATTTTAAATTAATTTACCCTTCGCTGATCATGGTGAACTCCTTAAATTGCAGTAAATTGAAAGCTAAAAGACATTTTGAAGCAAGAACCTTCACTGATGTCAACATTTTGCAAGTAATCAAGAAAGGCCACTTGATTTTCCCTTTCAACCGAACTGCGATTTTAAGTCAATTTTTCGATTTTTCAACATTGGCAACACAAATTAATTGCTCTTGCTTTCCTTTTGAATCGCAGAAGTCCCTTGTGAATGCAAAAAAAATAACTAGGCAGCAGGGAGTTTCGATAGCTGCTCCTCATAAGCATTTTACGGCACGAAGTCCCCATTTCTTTGTTGATTTTTTATATGAATAAATATTTATAACCAAATCGATTCTTTTTCAGAAAGATATGTCGTCCAGTGGATTCCCGTGGGGAGCAAATGCTCCTCCATTTCCTTTGGGAAATCCACCAAACCTGCCAATGAACCCGACCTACAACACCATGGGGAATGGGTCCATTGTTGATCGGGTGCCTGCTGATCTTCTACACCTCATTGATCCTTTCTGGTGAGCTGAAACAAAATCTAAGCTATTCGTCTTGATACGCAAAAATTTTGAACGAATTCATGCGACATTGTTTTAAAGCTTTTACGTTCATAACCTGAAAACATTTCCTGAAATTGTCAGTGCTCCAAATTATATTTCCTTGCTGCTAGTTTTCACCGGTACCTATAATAAAATTAGAATTTAATTGCGCATAAATATATCTTCATGAAATCATTACGTGCGAATAATAAGCTTTTTTATTGCCACATGAAGTGGAAAGTACACCGAGAAGCATTTTCAACTGCTTTACATTAATTTTAAAACGCTACCGTTTGAAAAATGTTGAAGTAAGTTTCCTCATGGAATGTTTCAATTTTTAGAGGCGATGCCCGAGAATTTAGAAAGCTTTTTTTTTCAATATGAGATTATTTACTGTTTTACGTTTTCCACAAAATTGTTCGGCGTGAATAAGGAAGCTATTCTAAATAGTCGAGATTTCAAAATCTTCAAGCTTGTGACTCTCTGAAAATGCTTCAATGGCAATAATTCTGAATTTCTGAAGCGTTTGTCGCATTATTGTCACTCGTAAAATGTTTGGTTAACACGTGCGCATGAGCTTTTTTATTTTAAAAATATTCTTCGAAAAATAAGAGACTATAGCTTCAGAAAACATTTGCTGTTGAGATTAAATTTTTATTCAAACTATTTCCTACCAAAGAAAAGGCAGCCATTATTTAATCCAAGGATTCAATGACTCGAGAATAACTAGAAAAATATACTTATTTCACTAGAATTACTCACAAAAAAGGATTTAATTTCCATTAAAAAAGCTCTTTCCATAGAGTCTTTTGATTGCTGTTCAAAAATGATCTGCTGGAAAGATTAGCCCTTTCTGCTTGCAACAATATTTGGCAACACTTTTTCATGTAAAGTACTGTACTTGGTCGCTATGCTGATTTTTAATTTTATTCTGTTCTTATCCTCTGAGATGTGATACTGCAGCATTATATACTTGTACTGCTGCTGCTGTTCCCAAGTTGAAAATGAAAATTTTTCTTCTTGTATAATCGAATTATTTTTTCTCAAGGAATATGTGTTATTGAACCGTCCTTTATTTTTATTTTTTTAAATAAACAGGTACCAATTTCCGCCTATGAACCCGGCGGTGAATTATTCTGTTGGTCTGGTGGCTCTCATAATCGGCATTGCAGCAGTCAGTGGGAACTTCGTGGTGCTCTATGTATTTTTGAGCACAAGGAACCTAAGGACCCCAGCCAACATGCTCATTGTCAACCTGGCCTTTTCTGACTTCATGATGATGGCCGGAATGTTCCCTTTTCTGGTTGTATCCTGCTTCAACGAAGTCTGGATATTTGGTGCGTCATTTTCTGTTCTTTTCTTCAATTTTATAAAATTTCCATGAAGGCGCAGTACAATTTATTTTTGAATATAATATATATTCCTTCACATTCCCATTAAAATGATGATTATAAACATGTACTCAAACTCTTCAAAGTGATGCCAAAGTTAGAAATACTGTACTGGTTTGCTCAAAATTTGCTATTTATGAGCAATTGTTATTGAAAATATTTGATTTGTGCAGAATTGTATTTAAAATGTGTGAACAATAACTGGCTGTGAACAATAATGCAATGGAAAAAAGTTTGTGTTTTTGTTGCTGAAAATGCTCAATTGTTTCATTTGGGTTATTTTTTTTCTTGAAAAAGCATTGGCATAGTTTGAGACATACTCTACTGGATGAATTTAACATGTACAGTAAGTTCTTCATCCTTTTATTGGACCCCTGCTGCCAAAGGAAAAACTATGCTGGAGTAAATAAAAATATATATAATTTCATATGTCTCTGCTGGTCATCCATGAAGTTGAGACTTTCTCAAGACTTGGTCTCCTATCACATGAAAACTTACTCCACAAGTCCATGCATGCAAGCGCCCAATTTGCCTAAAATATGAATTGATTATCTAGTTGTTGATGAAATTAAAAATTAAAGTGGTTCATTATTATATTCCAGCAGCCTAATTTTTAAATTAAATGTATTTGCAAAGAAAATATATACAGCCCTTTTCAGTTTTTGTGTTTGTGGAACTTTAATAAAAATGCACACCAGATAAATTCCACTACATTATAAGCCTTTATCAAGTTGACATCCTCAATTTATTTTCTGTTTTGCATTTTTTTTGCTTTCATGTGTTTTGTTTTGAGAACTGTTGTGGCCTTCTGCTCTTCCCAATGCACTCACAAACAGAAACACATTTTCTTATAGAACACTATCATGATTTTGTGAACTTCACCCTGATAAAAAAAAAGTCAAAATCTTCTGTACTGAACTGTTGAGAAAGAAATCAAGACTACACCTTGGTCAACTGAGGAGCTATCCATTATTTGACAATGCCAGGCATCTTTTGGGTGTGAAAAAATTTTCAATCATTGAAGTCCAGAAAATGTTTTGATTTGGTTAACAAATTTTTTCTTTGGAATCATTCAGTTTTATTAATAGACAAGGTTTGACGGTATTTCAAAATTAGGATAAAAATTCTTGAATTACCGTATTTACTCAAGTACCATGAGCCCTCAAGTAAGGCGCGCACAGGGGTTTTTCACTTGAAAATTTTGCAAAAATCTTATCCCCGAGTAAGACGCGCACCCCAATTTTTAGTGAATCTAAAACCATGAAATTTCAAAAATAAAAACAAAAAATTTGACTTTAGGCATCAATTGAACAAAAATCTGATGAATTTTCAACTTTTTCAATACAAAAATGTTTACTTGTTATATTTGCTCCAAATTTCTCCATTATAATTGAGTATAATACAAACATAACTTCCTAAAAGTTCTTGAAAATTTTGTACCCGCTTATGACGCGTGCCCCTTTTTTTCTTCTGAAATTTGGGAAAAAAGGTGCGCATGGTACTCAAGTAAATACAGTAGTCTAAATCTTTATTTCCAAATGTTCTTTCCCACAGGCCAACTCATGTGTGAGCTGCATGGGTTCATAGGGGCCTGGTTTGGGTGCCAGCAAATCTGGTCACTCACTCTGATTGCCAAGGACAGGTACAATGTGATTGTCAAGGGCATAGGATCCAAGCCATTGTCCTTCAAGAAGGTGGCCCTCATGCTGTTTTTCGTGGACGGTTTTGCTCTGGCCTGGGGTCTGGTACCATTCTTTGGGTGGAACCGGTATGTGCCTGAGGGCAACATGACTGTCTGCGGCTCTGACTCAGTTGGCACAGATGCATGGAGCAGGAGCTACATATTCGTCATCTGGAGCTATGCTTATTTTGTCCCACTGTCCACCATCATCTACTGCTACTTCCACATTGTCAAGGTACCAGTCATCATAAACCTTGTGGCATTATTAATACAAAAATCTGTGGATAGATCAAAGGAGGATGATTAAATTTAGGGTGGAATATGGCTGGTTCATTTGGGAACAGTATCTGTAACCTATTTTTGTGTATACAGTACAATATTTCAAACAACATGAACCTTCAGGGTAAGGGTTTAGTTGTTAATTAATTTCATTTTTTTTTCAAACTGAGTCTTACCTAGAAATGCATAATTTGTATCAAACTGATTCTTATTTTAAAATGCATTATTTGTCTCAAACTGATTCTTATTTATTTGTATTGGGCTTTTGTTGGAATAGACATCCGATGTAATAGATAAAAAAATACTCTGTCCAAAAATTAATAATTGGTAGCTGAGTACATGCAAAGAGAAGAGTCACAACAGTATTTATCTGAAGAAATGCCACAAGACCGGCCTAGCATCAGCCATGCAATATTTTACTGAATAAATATTTTTCAATTGATTAAATAAATATTTTTTACATTTTTTCACATTAATTTTGATTAATTGAATCGATTTTGAATTTATTGAATTGATTTCAAACTTTATTGAATCAATTTTTATCTTATTGATGTTTACACTATTTCATACATCAGATATAAAATATGTTTATCTGTAAATTGAATACATTTTTCCTTATTATACACAGGCTGTTGCTGCTCATGAGAGGCAGATGCGAGAGCAAGCACAGAAAATGAATGTGCAAAGTCTGCGAACTGGCGATGATGGGAAGACAAGTGCTGAAATTCGCCTAGCCAAGGTGAATATTGCAATTCAATGAAATTCTACTCTTCGTTTCTTTTTCTCGAAAATTTATGAATTGTCGAACGTAGTAGTAGCTCGGTTTTTTTCTTAAATAGACAGATAATATTAAATGGGTGGCGGTTTTCATAAAATGGTACGCAATACCAGTACGCTAATTACATTCCAAACACGATTTGAGCGACACCTATTTTATGAACGAGGGAAATCGGGGATACGTATGAGCAGCGTGTTCAGTGTGGATAATAATTTACTATAAATTCATATCTTAAAATACTGTACTCTTGAAGAAAAAAAAAATGCAATCGTGCTCCGGTTTTTCAGAAAGCAAAAACACAGCAACGATTTGATTAGCAACGCCTGGGTAAAAACTGGCTGTCCATCCAAGAAAGTCGCGTAAATAAAATTGTGTTTTGAAATGTAATTCAACAGCAATTCGAAATCAATCACTCATTGCTTAGCCCATCAGAAATCTTGAAATGCATGATTTCGTGAAACAGAAAAGAGTCAAGCTGATCAAGTTAAAATTTTGATGTAAGATTTCGCATGTATCGTGATTGATAAACAGTTTCAATGTTAAATCAGAGCCGTAATACATGCTGTCAAATTTTAAAATCTAATTTGAGAGAGTTTAGCAGTCACACAAAATACTGGAACCTATGTGGCACACCTTTCATGACTACAGTATTGAGTTACGCACAACTGTATCGAACAAACTGTATCGAACATGCTGTAGCGGCATCTATGTATAGTCAAACAAAACGAGAGTTTAGATGTTCAGTAGATTAGCACAGACTTCGCTCAAAAAATGTCGAAATTAACTATAAATTGGCTGTAGTATAACGCGAGCTCCATTCGTGCCAAGCAACGTTGCACAGAAAAGAACTTTCGTGAGATCTTCAATTCTACTTTCGCAGGTCGCCATCATGACAATCCTGCTCTGGTTCTTCGCCTGGACCCCATACGTCGTCATCAACTTCATGGGCGTGTTTTACCGAGCCAATATCACACCCGTCGTCACCGTGTGGGGCTCTGTGTTCGCGAAGATCTCCACTGTCTACAATCCCCTCGTATACGGTCTTAGCCACCCCAGATACAAAGCCGCACTGAACGAATCCATGCCGTGTTTGTCTTGCATCGTGGGACGCCCCGCTGAATGCGACGACAACAAGTCTGTGACTACACAGGAAAGCAGCGACGCCAAGCGGATGGAGCAAGAAACCGCAGCCTAGATTTTGCGCTTATTGTTCACTAGAGCACGCGTTTGTCGAGAGATTCGGTAGGCCACTTCGGGCTGCTGTATTTCCAGCCTGCTTCAATAAGATGAGAGTCAAATCTAGAGGCGTACTGTGAAGAAATAAGAAAGAAGAAGAAGGGAACTGGTCAGTAAACGGAAACGACCGATTGCGCGACTGAAGCGACATTCAGTGGTTTCCTCTAGCGTTTCAAGTTACCTTCTCTCGTATAGTGCTCACTAGAGGTCGTAGCCAGATGACTATGCTCCCGGGGGGTATATCAAGCAAGCAGTCAGTCGAAATTCTTTTATGTTCACGGAACACCACGCAGATGATGTTCGAAAGAATAAGAAAGCTGAATCGCTTTAAATACGCATTAAAACTAAGATTTTAAAATAGAAAATTGAATGCATACGAAAGAGTCATACTGATCCTCATTTTTTAAATAAATTTTATTAGAAACCAAGTTATTGCTCATTGAAAATGTGCGAAGTTATAAGTAACGAACCCGCGAACTTTCTTGAATCTCTCTTTATTTAACAAATATAAATTAGCAAACTGATCTGTCATCAACTCGTGACTTTTCTGAAACTCAATGTACCGTTTTTAAAATACACTTGAAACATTTTCGAAGAAAGGGATCCATTTCAAATCAGTAATTGCTACCATTTATTGAATTTAAAGATTTGGTGAAAACCCTGATCTCGAATTTTTCCTGTGGTGGAATTTGTATGAATTCAAAAAACAATCAAAAGTGGTTCAAATTATGTGGATTTGGGTTACATGGAAAAAAAGTATAGTGCTCACTAGAGGTCGTAGCCAGATGACTATGCTCCCGGGGGGTATATCAAGCAAGCAGTCAGTCGAAATTCTTTTATGTTCACGGAACACCACGCAGATGATGTTCGAAAGAATAAGAAATCTGGATCGCTTTAAATAAGCATTAAAACTAGGATTTTAAAATAAATCATGAATTCATACGAGAGAGTCACTGATCCCCATTTTTAAAATAAATTTTATTAGAAACCAAGTTATTGTTCATTGAAAATGTGCGAAGTTATAAGTAACGAACCCACGAACTTTCTTGAATCTCTCTTCATTTAACAAATATAAATTAGCAAACTGATCTGTCATCAACTCGTGACTTTTCTGAAACTCGATCTACCGTTTTTAAAATTCACTCGAAGCCTTTACGAAGAAAGGGATCCATTTCAAATCAGTAATTGCTAAGTAAATAACTTAAATTTCTAAACCACTTTTGGGACTAGAGCTTAAAAAGGACACCACCTTAAACATACTTAAGTTTTTTGTTAGTTTTCACCAAGTTTAATACACCTAAACCCAATGTACCTTTTTTATATTCCTTGGTGGTCAGCTCATCATGTCTTACTGACTTCCCATTGAATTTTGGAAACATTTCAGTATATTTCGCCCAGGAAAAAACCTGTATTTTTTCGTCGAAATATCGCGGGGAAAAAAATTGGAATGTCATGTCAAATGAACTTTTCTGTCATAAATAGAGTGCCTGCGAAATTATTATCCATTCACTCATTTTTTATCATCAGACAAAACAATTGCTAATTTTCTGTTCAACAACTCCCAAAAGAAGGGCAAACAATTTTTTTTTATCCGAGCTCGGGTCGGCAAAAAATTTATTTTTCTCTACGGTTTCCATTGCGCTTCAAAGAAAATCGGTTCTTCGAAGAAGCCCTACTAAATTTTACATGAACTCCGGGCAGTCTGACAGCAAAAAGGATAAAATACAGAGGAAAATAACATAAAAAAGGAGAAAAAGGAGAAACAAATAACTCGTTGGCATTCAGAAAACCACCTTTTTCTTCAAGAGGAAGCCAGAAAACCGCGTTCATAAGCGAGGTAACTCAGTGACCAAAACTGCATAATCCTCAGACGCAAAATCGCCAAGAAACGAGGGACAGCAAAAAAAAATGAAGATAAAAAATGCGAGGAAAAGGTTGTTGGACATCTCTGGAAGTTTTGTCAGAATTCTTGTTCCAGGCAGCCTGGGGATTCTGTACTGTAACAAGATACCTGGGAAATGTAAAATGAGATTCCTGCTGGAATTTTTAAAACAATATCCTAAGTATGTAAAATAAAATATCTTGACAGTGAAAATGCAAAAAATGTCAGTTTCATCATCTCCAAGACACTAATATTAGTTCAATGTCTAACATTTTGTATAACAGCCTAAATCTCAAGAAGTTGTGTTTTGTTGGATGAATTCTTTTTTTTAAATATTTCCATAAATAAGATAACTAAAAAAAGAAAATAACTATACCTTATGAAGGGACATGTTTTTCTGTCAATGGTGAAAAACTCTTGAGCAGCAAAATTATCTCATCATAGATGGGCAGCTTTATTATTATTTCTGCATCAGATAATTTACTCAGCAGTTGTCCTTCATGAAATAGAAGACTTCCTTAAAAAATGAAATTTTTTAAAAAATTACTGAGCAAAGATACTGCACCAACTAACATACACAAATTTTAAAATGAACTTGGAATATGCATTATCTAACAAAACTGAACAATTCAAGAATAATAACTGATGAATAAATTCTCAGACATGTGACTGATGCACAAAGATTTATCTAGACACTTATGTATACAATACAGGTGGTACCTTGCAATTCAACCCTAATACATTGCCAAATGAGGGTTTAATTGCAAAGTTATAGTCAAATTGCAATACACTTTGACAAATTCAAAAATATCAGTACAAAAATTCAAGAAAGTGGCCAACGTGGGTTTAATTAAGGGGCTAGGGTCAAATTACAAGTCAACCTCCCTGCAAATCCGATTTTGAATTATAGGGCAGTCAAATTGTGGGAGGTCAAATGTCAAGGTACCACATATATGAAAACAGTATATCAAAGCCATTCTGAATTTCTGATAAGTACACTACTGTATAGCCATGCGCAGTCTATGACTCTTGGCAACATAACTTCTGTCATTGGTGGATCCACAATATACCATGATTATGTAGTTTTGGAAAGAGGTTGCAGAACAAAAGCATCTTAGTCTTGAAATTTGTAGATCTGGAAAAGTATTTTAAATACATCAAAAGATGTGGAATCTTTTCAAGGTAGCAAAGGAGTGACCCCAATTATAATACAGTATTTCAAAGTCTCTCTTTTGTTCTCTTTTGTTTTTGTCATTGGTTTGTGCTTTGTTTCATGCTTTGAAGTGATTGAATGTCTTTGGGGGGAGTTGGGTTGGGTGGAGAGGGGGTTTGGATGCAGGAATCTTGGTTGTGCCTTGTGAATGCTGAAAAGCAGCAAATAAAGTTTTCTGTTCATTCATTCATTCAAGTCTCTTACAGCAGTCTTACTTAAACCACTTCAAACTTTGAAACATGGTCCAAGTTTTGTTGATTTTGATACAACAGCCCAACATTGATGTCAAAATTTAAAAAAATTGGATGCTGCATTCTGTACAACATAACATCATCTGTGTATTTTACTTAGCTCTTTTACCTCTTTATATTCATGTCTATAATCAACTGAAATTGTTTCCAATGCCTCGGCAATCAAACAAATTTACACAATTTTTAAGCATTGTGAATAATTTCATGATCAAAGTAAAAGGTTTTAATATTGGTTCAAACTTTGTTTTCTTAATTAAACAAAATAAAAGAAAAAATTTTCATGGTGGAGAAAATTTATGTACAGAGTTCAGCTAAATTCAATATTTACCATATTTGAGCACTGAACACCCATTTGCAAGGCAGGCATTGCCATAAAAATAGAAAATGATCAAAACTATCTTCAACCCATTACAATTTTTATTTGAATCTGATGGAAATCAAAAATCTTCCATAAAATTTCACAAATAAAGTGCATGTACAGTAATTCATGAGAAAATCTATGTATGATGGCTCACATAGAGAGGCACTATGTGAGTTACACCAGCAATTGTTATCTCTATCTTCTCAAGACCTTGACTAATGTACACAAGTTCAAGAAAATTCAGAATACTGTAGCAACGTTTGTGGCAAAAGGGGTAAAACTGTGACATGAACATATACCAATGGAGCTTTCTTATTGTGGGGATTGAACAAAAGAATTTTACTGGGCTTTTTAGCCCTTTTGAGTTGTATACAACTTCAAGCATAGGCCAGTGCTTTACACCAAACAACCAATTACATTAGCTTGGAAGGTTTTCTGTCTTCAATGCTTAAATTATTTTCAAAAATGCTTCCTTAATAAGCGACTTATCCAGACTCAGCTGTTTTTTAAAAGCCTATAATAACAGCCTAGCCTTGAGAAGTTGAGTATTTTTTTTTCTTCAATGAGTCAGTCACCCAATATTTTTATTGCTGGCTGAGCATGGAATTTTGGTAAGAGAAGGAGTCAATTTCTTATCTTTACACATGTACAGACATAAGTATAGCACATAGCCACAAATGGGTCCTTCTTCTGAGTTTAAAACATGATGAATTAAATACTGTAGTTTTCTATAACCTTATTCTGTTATTTATGGACGAATCAGTCATCAGAAAATCCTTTGCCTAGCATGTCCCATCTTAAGATTTGGAAAATCCAGTTTAAATGCACAAATAGCAGGAATATTTCCCACAGTGGACATTCTTGGTATGGGTACCAGTAAGGTATGCATACCAAAACTGCACATATGAAATGTTATTGGAAAATACTTCCAAAGATCCAAAAAATAATTATAACAACAATTTTTCCTGCATAAATTTTTTGTATTATGCAATAGATTCTATTTTTTGAAATTCAAGTTTCTTGCTGATTGGATAAGAATTTATGAAAAAAGTAAATATATTCCCCAGCAAAAATGTATGACAAACTTTGACTGGACCAAAATTATCTATAGGAGGTACCCTTATTCTTGATACAATGTGCCTAAACATCTTTCTTTTAAAAATGCTGGGCACTGATCTGAACTGAAAGTATTGATTCTGGATTGCTTTCTCCAAAGGCAGCAAGACCATATTCTGGAAAAAAATGCACCATTTCTGAAAATATTTGAATAGGGAACAGAGGAAAATAACATAAAAAAGGAGAAAAAGGAGAAACAAATAACTCGTTGGCATTCAGAAAACCACCTTTTTCTTCAAGAGGAAGCCAGAAAACCGCGTTCATAAGCGAGGTAACTCAGTGACCGAAACTGCATAATCCTCAGACGCAAAATCGCCGAGAAACGAGGGACAGCAAAAAAAAAAATACAAATGAAGATAAAAAATGCGAGGAAAAGGTTGTTGGACATCTCTGGAAGTTTTGTCAGAATTCTTGTTCCAGGCAGCCTGGGGATTCTGTACAGCTGTAACAAGATACCTGGGAAATGTAAAATGAGATTCCTGCTGGAATTTTTAAAACAATATCCTAAGTATGTAAAATAAAAGTATGTTGACAGTGAAAATGAAAGAAGTTGGTTTTATCCTCTCCAAGAGACTAGGATTAGTTCAAGGTCTATCATGTTAAACAACTGCCTAAATGTCAAGAAGTTGTGTTTTGTTGGATGAACTCATTTTTTAAATATTTCCACAGAAGATAACTAAAAAAAAAGAAAATAACTTTACCATCTGAAGGGACATGTTTTTCTGTCAATGGTGAAAAACTCTTGAGCAGCAAAATCACCTCATCATAGAGGGGCAGCTTTATTATTATTTCTGCATCAGATAATTTACTTGACAGTTGTCTTTCATGAAAAAGAAGACTTCCTTCCGAAATGAAATTTTATTGAAAATTACTGAGCAAAGATACTGCACCAACTAACCTACAAAATTTTTTAAATGAACTTGGAGTATTCATTATCTAACAGAACGTGAACATTTCAAGAATAAAAGACTGATAAGTAAATTCTCAGACATCTGATTGATGCACAAAGCTTTATCTTATTCTAGACACTTATATATACAGTGCAGGTGGTACCTTGCAATTCAACCCTAATACATTGCGAAATCAGGTTGAATTGCAAAGTTGCGGTCAAATTGCAAAGTTGCGGTCAAATTGCAAAGTTGCGGTCAAATTGCAAAGTTGCAGTCAAATTGCTTTCAACGCCAGTTTAACGTTTCAACGCCAGTTTAACGTTTCAACGCCAGTTTAACGTTTCAACGCCAGTTTAACGTTTCAACGCCAGTTTAACGTTTCAACGCCAGTTTAACGTTTCAACCGGTCAAATTGCAAGATACTTTGACAAATTCTCAAAATATCAGTACAAAAATTCAAAAAAGTGGCCAACATGTGTGGAATTGAGGGCAAGGGTCAAATTGCAGCAAGTCAACTTCTCTGCAAATTGTTGAATTGTGGGACAGTCAAATTTTGGGAGGTCAAATTTCAAGGTACCACCTATATACCTATACAGTATGTCAAAGCCATTCTGAATTTCTGATAGTCATGTGCAGTCTATGACTCTTGGCAACTTGACTTCTGTCATAGGTAGATCCACAATATACAATGATTATGTAGTTTTGGAAAGAGATTGCAGAACACAAGCATCATATAGTCTTGACATTTATATATCTGGAAAAGTATCCTAAACACATCAAAAGATGTGGAATCTATTCAAGGTAGCAAAGGAGTGAACCCCATTATAATACATCATTTTAAAGTCTCTTACTGCAGTCTTACTTAAACCACTTCAAACCTTGAAACATGGTCCAAGTTTTGTTTCGTTTGGTACAACAGCCCAACATTGATGTCAAAATGTTAAAAAATCAGATACTGTATTCTGTACAACATAACATCATATGTGTATGTTTTACTTAGCTCTTTTACCTCTTCATTCATGTCTATAATCAACTAAAATTGTTCCAATGCCTCAGCAATCAAACAAATTTACACAATTTTTAAACATTGTGAATAATTTCATTATTAAACTAAAATGGTTTAATATTGGTTCAACCTTTGTTTTCTTAATTAAACTAAATAAAATTTAAAAAATGTCATGGTGGAGAACATTTTTATACAGTACTGTACAGAGTTCAGCTAAATTCAATATTTACCATATTTGAGCACTATAAACACCCATTTGCAAGGCAGGCACTATGCCATAAAAATAGAAAATGATCAAAACTATCTTCAACCTATTACAAATTTTATTTGAATCTGATGGAAATCAATAATCTTCCATAAAATTTCACAAATAAAGTGCATGTACAGTAATTCATGAGAAAATCTATGTATGATGGCTCCCATAGAGAGGCACTATGTGAGTTACACCAGCAATTGTTATCTCTATCTTCTCAAGACCTTGACTAATGTACACAAGATCAATAAGAAAATTCAGAATACTGTAGCAACGTTTGTGGCAAAAGGGGTAAACCTGTGACATGAACATATACCAATGGAGCTTTCTTATTGTGGGGATTGTACAAAAGAATTTTACTGGGCTTTTTAGCCCTTTTGAGTTGTATACAACTTCAAGCACAGGCCAGTGCTTTACATCAAACAACCAATTACATTAGCTTGGAAGGTTTTCTGTCTTCAATGCTTAAATTATTTTCAAAAATGCTTCCTTAATAAGCGACTTATCCAGGCTAAGCTGTTTTTAAAAGCCTATAACAGACTAGCCTTGAGAAGTTCAGTATTTTTTTTTCAATGAGTCAGTCACCAAATATTTTTATTGCTGGCTGAGCATGGAATTTTGATGAGGGGAGGAGTCAATGTCTTCTTTGGACATGTACAGACATAAGTAGCACATAGCCACAAATGGGTCCTTCTTCTGAGTTTAAAACATGATGAATTCAATACTGTATAGTTTGCTATAACCTTATTCTGTTATTCATGGACGAATCAGTCATCAGAAAATCCTTTGCCTAACATGTCCCATCTTAAGATTTGGAAAATCCAGTTTAAATGCACAAATAGCATGAATATTTTCCACAGTGGACATTCTTGGCATGGGTACCAGTAAGGTATGCATACCAAAACTGCACATATGAAATGTTATTGGAAAATACTTCCAAAGATCCAAAACATAATTATAACAACAATTGTTTCTGCATACATTTTTTTATTATACAAGAGATTCTATTTTTGAAATTCAAGTTTCTTGCTGCTGATTGGATGAGGATTTCTGAAAAAAGTAAAAATATTCCCCAGCAAAAATGTATGACAAACTTTGACTGGAACAAAATTATCTATAAGAGGTACCCTTATTCTTGATACAATGTGCCTAAATTAGAAAGAAAATTTTTACGACCCGTGACTAGACTTGACTTTCATAACTAAGACCTAACGAAAGAGGTTTCCGTCGTTCTGGTATAAGACCTTTTTTTACGTGGTAAAGACTTTTATAAACTTATCCCTATGATACAATGAAACAGCACTCAAAAATGATCAATTATTTGTTTTAATGAATCGTGAAATTGTTTCTAGTTACAAATCCTGTAGATACTTTTAGTAACTACAGTAATCTGTAAACAGTCATGTAAACAGTAAACAGTGTTTCTGTTGGGACTTCTGCAGCATTTTTTCATAGAAAATCATTTGTTATACCAGAATAAAAACATTTCATATTTTATTGTAGAACATAGAAAAATAAACCCATAGCAGGAAATCATACAAGATGTTCATGATATAAAAGAACATCACATAACTTTCTGTAGCAGAATTTCATTTAAGTATTGAAAGACATATTGTATTAAAGTAAATTGTATTGAAAGACATTGTCTTAAAGTACTTGTCTTAGGGTAAATTGTTTTATGGTTAAATAACGTTCTGAAAATGGTTTAAAGTAAGGTTTTTTAAGCATTCAACAGAATTGCATTTAGCAGAATTTCAATTCACAAAATTTCATTGGGCAGAATTTAATTTTTAAAAATTTCCATTTAATAACATAATTCTATTCAGAAAAATTGCATCACCTGAATTATTAGGGGAAAGCTACATAAATTTCCCCAGATATATATAGAGAAAAAAACGTATAAACTTTCCAAAGAACCCTTCTGGAGCTTGCCTTTCTTTCCCCCTTGTTTTTCCCAATGTATATCGGGACACCCGGAAGAAGGTTTTTTCCTTGACATGGTGTCCCCCCAGTAGGACCGAGTAGGGGGGGGGGGAAGAAGAAACGTCAGGAGCATGGGCTCTTGGCCTGGGTTGGACTTGTGTACCCCATATAAAAGCCGTCCGCAAAACTAGCACCCTTCACAACCGCCATTTCACCCTTGACCGAGTGAGTTCGCGGATCCATCTCGCTCTTTTCTTCACCTCCCCACCGAAAGAAAAAAAAAAAAAGTGCTTCACCTCATCATTTCTTCTATTATTATACCACTATATACCCCGAAAAAAAAATATTTTCGTGACTGCGAAATTTGAATTTTGAAAAAAAAAGAAAATTGGCGTCGGAAACCATGGGTTCTACCAAGGAGTTATTGACGTGGAGCGGACAAATGCCCGGGTTGCCAAACTTGCCGCATTTTGCGATGGGTTTCGGCAATGGGTCCATCGTGGACAAGATCCCGGCTGACATGCTGTTTCTGGTGGACAGGCATTGGAACCAGTTCCCCCCACTTGATACACTCACTTACATGATCCTGGGGGTCTTCATCATCGTTGCTGGCATGATCAGCGTCATCGGTAATTTTTTTTATCGAGTGAAATTGATTGATTGATCATTAGTATTGAACCTCATTATT